CTCTCTAGCCCCTCTTTAATCACTTTAAGTATCCTTATGTAATGTTATGAGTCTAGTATATTTGGGGAAGTTTCCATCTATCTTCTGTGGATTACATCAGAGGATTGGCTTAGATGAGCAGCTTCTCTGGATGTTTATCATTTTGAACCTCAAACTCACAGTAAGTGAAACTTCACCTGTAGTGATTGGTTGTGATCTGTGTATATCAAAAGAACAAGCTACAAGCCTTGAGTTTTCATTAGGGGCTTAGTTCTCAGACAACATGGTGTGAATTCAAAACCCCAGTTTGCCAGGAATTTTTAGAGTCCCTGTTTTTAAACCAGTGGCTGGGGAAAGTGCAGAGATTCTTCAAGTTTGGGGTCCTTGTGACTTCTGGGTAGGTGTTAGGATCGTTCTCATAATTTCATTCCTGTCATGGTCCTGGCTTCATCCTTCATAGTAATGGGCCACACTCCTGCACCCCTGATGGGCCCTGCCTCTATGCCCCACCCCTACTTCACAGAAGAACTAGATCATGATTCTAAGCTTTCGTTGTATCAATGGAGGTAGCTTTTTCTGGCTTTGGAACCCTGTGCTTCAACGAACAACTGTTTACCATATTTTACCTAATCTAAGCATTTTTTAAGGGGCAGTTTCCACCACCCCAGAAATTTTAATCTATTGAAATCTTCCAGATAAAGTTTCAAATAAGTGTTTAAATTTTCATGTACAGGTATTACAAATACCAGCTTAAGAACAGGGAACAGACAGATGTAGAAAGAATCTTATATTGATCTAGACAATCCAGGATAGATTACCCATTTCAGAGATACAGCTAGTAAGACTTGGGGTAAATATATCTTTTCCAAGGTCTCACATTTTGTTAATGACAGCCAAGGCTGGGGACCACATCATATAAGATACAGGATGCTTTCTTGTCTGTGTTTGCTCTTATATTCTTTTATTTCAGTAAGTAGATGCTGAACCTTAGGAAGAGAGAGAAAAAATGTCTACTGGAGCAGACATCAAGGCAAGAGTGGGAGACAGTTCCCATGACAGCAATTCAAGCATGACCCAAGAACAATCCTTCAAGAAAGGTAAAAATCACACACAGAACTCTGGTTACAAAGAAAATAGAATCTAGGCACCCTAATTTCCTTTTTCTTGATAGATAGCATTTTTCTCACTAGTGACCAACAGAGCTAAATAGTAATAAAGCATTTTTATTCCTAATTATTTCATTTCTCATAGGTAATCTTGAAGGCTACAGAACAGATAAGAAACTTGTGACCATTATATGGAAGTGAAAACAAAGACCCAAAACAACTCAGAAAGAAAGAAAGAAAAAGAAAGAAAGAAAGAAAGAAAGAAAACAACCCACCAAAGGCAAAAACAAACAAATTAAAAAACAAAATGAAACACACATAAAAACCAACAGACCAACACACCTCAATCACATCAAAGCAGATTTGAAATGGGAATCTAAGCTTGGCCTTTGACTGTTGGTCTAGGGCTGGAGTCTGTTATCCTCTAAATCATCTCAGATCACTGTCAAGATAGAAAACTTACAACTTTCCCCTGCAAAGATAACAAGGACAGAATGATAGACATGTACACGAACTACACACTTAACTCAATGACATATGTTAAATAAAATTATAGTTAAAGTAGCAAAGCAAGCTGTTCGGTCATTTGAAACAGCCTGTGAAGAAGAGAAAATTTTAAGGATACAAAGGAGAGTCAAATGCTAGCAACCACCATCATTGTGCATGCGGTGAAAACTCCAGTTGTCATCAAGGCCCTTATAGGCAGATTCTTTTGCCACCCTGGTAAAGTGCAGGAGCCACAGAGACTTTCAAAACTTGCTATTAGTAGAGTGTCTGGGATGGAGATCCAGCAGACTGATTCCAAGATAAAAGACATTTGATATAGCCCATGAATACTGAAATAGGAGTAGGATTATTTAGTGTGGTTGAAGTACATGTCACACAAGCAACAAGTTAGTGTTTCCACTAAATTCTGATCTAGCCGGAGTGTTCTCCCCACCATGCTGATGGACAAAAAGAAAAGATGATACGAATGCTGCAAACAGTAAAAAGAATTGTTTTCCTCCATGATTTGTATGTAAATGTGTATATATTATCTGTTTGTCTATCTATCATCTATCCAATCAAAGTAAAAAGGGAAAAAATAACAGCACTTGGGAGGTTGACATAGTAGGATCATAAGTTTTAGTCCAGCCTAGGCTGTGAAATGAAACCCTGTATCAACAAACAAATAAATAAAGACTGTGATAGTAAACTTAATTTAGTTATAGAAGCAACACAAAGTACTTGATAAAAAGTACAGGGCCTTAACTATTGATTACAGTTTTATGTTGGGGCAGAGACAAGACTTGAGTACACGGATGAAGTATGGAGCAGACAACCTGACCACCCTTCTTAATGGGATATGACATGTCTAAACAAAATTGCACTGGAACTTTCAGAAGGAGAAGGGAGGCTTTCTGAAGCTAAATAGTCCTAGACTTAGGCCAAAGGTGCTATCTTTATATGAATTCAGGGTGCTATCTTACCCTGAATTTAACAAGTGCATCTCCGCACGCCAAGGGTGCAGGGCTGGCTAGTCCAGCTTCATCTGCTTTCTGACTGAAGGCTGGAAGCTGTAAACTCAGAGTTTGACCACAGTGACCACAAATTACTCCTGGATTTCTCTGCCTCCTGACTGTGGTCAAACTAAAGTGACTGGACCAGCGGGAAGCTTTGTGCAAGTCTAGAATAGGGTAGTAAGATGAAAATGACACGCGTCTTCAACCTAGCACCCCCAAACCAGGCTCATAGATTATGTTCACCCTACTTCTTCAAAGCCCTGAACAAGCTGAATATCCTATTGTTAATTATAAATACACTGATCTCAGCCGCTTAAGCAGGGACCTGGGAGTCATTTTCACCCCACCCCTCACCACACTCACGAGCAGTCTCAGTTATAAACCTTTTCCTGCCCTTGATGGCTCATACCCGAGCCCTGAAAACCTTATCTCTGAGGCTGGCTCTCTACACATTTTTTAAGGCTCTGCTTCCAAAGGAACTAGCTCTCCATCTCAAGAGAATGGAGACTTCACAGAACAGTCTGGACCCCCTATACTTCCGAGAACCAAACAGGCATCAGCCTTTTGCCGCCTCCAGACCTAGAAACCATAAGAAGAAGGCAGGCTGACTGCACAACCTCTGTCCCTTTTGCTCCTAGGTTTTTGTTCACTGCGGCATGGCCTGGCCTTCATCTTGCAGCTCTGTAATTTTTCGATTTATACCCAACAAATGAACTTGAGCATTGCCATAACAGCCATGGTGAACACCACAGCAGCAACCAGCCAGCCCAATGCTTCCGCTGAAGGACCCCCCGCCGACTCCCAAGACTTCTGGAATGAAACAGTACAGGAATCTAAGGTACTGATATGTTTTATGAGAGTCTCAACTATTTCTTTGATTCAAGGGCCGTCTTATGAGCAAATGAAATTCCTTTAGTATGAGAACATAAAGATTACCTTACGGGATTTTTATCTCTCTCTATGTAATGCCTGTAAGTGAAACCTTGGCTAAGTCAGAATGAACCATGGTTCCTCATTCAGTAAAAATAAATTCTTCTTCTATACGGATGAAAATCAACCCCTACCAGGCTCATAGATTATGTGCCCTCTCTTCCACATAATGCTCAGTATTTCAGCTATGACGTTTCTTTCTTTATGAGCTTTTCCTTCTGTCTCTATCTATTATGCATAATATATGTATCTATTATAATATATAAAATATAGTAGTTCATATATATCCTATATGAAGATGAATATTATATGTATTTGCCTTCCTGAGACAGACTTTTTATGTTTGTCTTCAAACTCCTTATCCTCCCGCTTCAGCCTCCAAAGTAGTTGGAGTTCAGGCAAGTACCAGCATGGACTCCTGTAATTTTTTGTTTGTTTGTTTTTGTTTTTCGAGGCAAGGTTTCTCTGTATCCTTGGTGCTTATCCTGGAACTAGCTCTTGTAGACCCGGCTGGCCTTGAACTCACAGAGATCCACCTGCCTCTGCCTCCCAAGTGCTGGGATTAAAGGCGTGCGCCACCACTGCCCTACTCTGACTCCTATATTTTAATTGGTCAGTTAATCACGTCAGGGTGATAGAAAAGAATATATTATGCATATACTTAGGGTTTTTTTTATGAAACTGGTGACTTGGAAGAATTGAGCAGTGTTGAAATGAACTGCACATTGCTTCCTGTGTCTCAAGTCTTACAGTCAAGTCAAACAGCTCAGCCAGATGTGAAGCACAGCTGTAATCTCGTGACTTTGGAGGTGGGAGCAGAAGGACTAAGAGATCAAGGTCATCCTGGGCTGGCTAGAACCTATCTCAAACCAAAATGAAATGAAACAAGTCACGTATGCCGCCAAACAATGAGTTCTTCTTGTCGCCTAGGCCCCGGTGTATGACTGGACGCCAGAAATCCAGGGTATCCTCCTCAGCTCCCTGAGCTACGGGTCATTCTTAGCTCCGATCCCCACTGGCTATGTGACTGGAGTATTTGGAGCCAAGTATGTTGTTGGAGCGGGTTTGTTAATTTCTTCAGTGCTGACTCTCTTCACTCCACTGGCGGCTGATACTGGAGTAGCCTTGCTCATTGGCCTTCGGGTCATCCAAGGCATAGCTCAGGTATCAAGATCTTTACCAAGTATAACTGGCAAATATCTATGTTCTAGGATGATCTCATATCTCTAAGAATGAATAATTTCCCCCAGGTTATGGTATTAACAGGTCAGTACTCAATATGGGTCAAATGGGCTCCGCCATTGGAAAGGAGTCAACTCACCACCATTGCTGGATCAGGTAACTGGTATCTGAACCTCATTTTGTGTGCGCTGTCCCAGAGTACTCAGCAATGGACTACTAAGAGAACAAAAACCTTGTTTCCTAGTTACCCCGTCTTCATAATTCTTGCTTTGAAGAACTAGATCATCTTTTTTTGATCAGAATAGTATGTTACCAACGCAGCAAACATTCTTGGATTTTGTATACATTAATTTCTTTTACCCTCTTAGGAACCCTACAAATCACTTAAGAAGTATGTACACAGTGTAAAAAAAAATCCAAGACACAAGTAGACTGATAAGTGTCTGAGATCAAGTGGCTGCTGAGGGAAGGAGCAGGGTTTGTATTGCTGTAGTCTTGATTGAAGCTCAAACCCTCATTCACCATCACTCAACTCTGTAGGAAGCTTCTGGATTCCCAAGGCCAGCTCTCATTTACATAATATCCTTGCATCTTTTGCTTAGGAGCAATGCTTGGGACCTTCCTTGTCCTCATTGCTGGTGGTCTTCTTTGCCAGAACCTCGGATGGCCTTATATCTTCTACATCTTTGGTGAGTTTGTTCATTTTTAAAATTTCAGAATGTTTCTCTATGACAATGAATGCTGGGTATCTGGGTTGAACGCATCTTTGGCTGTCTAAATTCGAACAGATAGCATTTATGTAAAGTTGGCAATGTTCAAAACTAGTCATGGTGAAAATCTAGCTGATTTATAAAAGAGCCTCTAGATTTTAGTATTCTGGGGGCTGGAAAGATGGCTTAGCAGTTAGGAGTTTTTGTTGCTCTTGCAGAGGACCCAGGATCAGTTCAAAGCACCCACAAAATGGCCCATAACCTTTTGTAACTCCAATTCTAGGGGATCCCATGCCCTCTTCTGATCTCCACAGGTGCACAAACACATGTGAAGACAAAAAGCTCATACATATAAAACAAAACAAGTAAATTTCAAAAGAGAAACTAGTATGAATTTAATACTTTGGTTATGTGGTTGAATACCCTTATGACTTTATGGACATCAGCATTGTTATTGTTTATAAACACTTGGTGGTGGGGGACCAGTCCCAGGAGGGGCAGCAGCAGGCTACCCAAGGCCTCGGCAGGGCAGTAGCAGGTCCCCAGAGGCCTCCACAGGTCCCCTTGGTGAGTGGAAGACCAAGGTGGGTGAGAGATAGAAAGATACGCCATGCAGAGAGAGAGAGTTTGGGTATAGTGTTTATTTAGTGAGTTATGGAGAGGCAAGGGAAGCTGGAAAGGGAGAAGGGGGGAAAGGGTAGAGAGAAAGAGAGGAAAGGGGGTAAAGAGATAGAGAGAGAGGGAAGGGAAAGTGAGGTAGTAGTTACTTCTTCAAAAGAGGGACAGGGAGAGAGAGAGAGAGACAGAGAGAGAGAGAGAGAGAGAGAGAGAGAAAGAGAGAGAGACATACACAGAGAGAGACAGAGAGAGACACACACAGAAAGAGAAGGCTGGAGAGGAGGCAGGGGATCTGCTTGTGTGGTGGGGGGAATGGAGGGTTGGGACTGGTTGGAGCTCGTCTCTTAAAGGACAGGGTACCCAGGTGACAGGGATGATCAGGAAAATAATAACAAGCACACATACACTTTTCTGGGCTCAGGAGATGGCTCAGTTGGTAAAGTGATTGCCATGTAGGCATAAGGAGCTGAGTCTAATGTCCAGAACTCATGTGAAAAATTGAGTATCATGGCGCACGTCTTGGAAGCAGCTGCTTTTCTTCCTGAAGTCCCACGGAGCAGCTGGTGGCCTCTTTTCTGTTTCTCTCATCACACAGTGCTGACAGGCTCTTCTACCGCAGGTGGAATTGGCTGTGCCTGTTGCCTGATCTGGTTTCCTCTCGTATATGATGACCCACAGAACCACCCCTTCATCAGCGCTGCTGAGAAGAGATACATTGCGTGTTCACTGGCTCACGAGGTACATTGAGGAATCTCCTTGTCACTTTCCCTATCCCTGGGCATCTCAGAGGTAGAGCAGGGTCACTCCTATCTTGTGATGGAGGACATAATCGCATGTGTTTTCTTTTAGGTTTGCTCACCAGGCTGGTCTCTTCCCATTAAAGCCATGGTCAAATCTCTCCCACTTTGGGCTATTGTAGTTTCTTACTTCTGCCAGTATTGGCTGTTATCCACGATGATGGCATACACACCCACATATATCGGCTCTGTACTTCAAGCAAACCTCAGAGACGTGAGTATAAAGAAGGCGTACCCGTTTGCTGTGTTTCTCTGTGTGGTCTCACTCGTGGCCACAGGATGAGGAATTTAGGCCAGGACCCCTCACAGGAAATGCAGCTAGGTAACTTGGATTCACACTGATCTCAGTGTGGTTCACTGCTTACTTGAGCAGAGGTGTGGTTCCAAATCAGGTCACGGTGTCATATTTTTAAAAGTCCTATGCAAAAAAATTTATACTTAATGAAGTCAGCATTTATAAACAAGATTTTTTTCCATTGGCAACATAAAAATTTTAAAATGATTAAAAAATTCTGTTGTAAATAAGATGTTATTAGACTTCTTTTCCTTTCTTCCTTCCTTCCTTCCTTCCTTCCTTCCTCCCCCTCCCTCCCTCCCTCCCTCCCTCCCTTCCTCCTTTTCTTTCTCCCTTTTTCCCTTCCACCCTCTCCTCTTCTTTCTTTTTTCCTTTCTTCCCTCCCTCCCTCTCTTCTTTTCTTTCTTTCTTTCTTTCTTTCTTCCTTCCTTCCTTCCTTCCTTCCTTTCTTTCTTTCTTTCTTTCCTTTTTTTTCCCCTGAGATAGGGATTCACTAAGTATCCCAGCTTAGCATGGAATTTACTATGTAGCTGGCCTCCAAATTCAGGTCTTCTTATTTCCTCCTCACTGTAGGATTACAGGCATATACCTCCAAGCCTAGCTCAAAATCTTTAAAATAACTATTTCTAAGTGATCTTTATATATGAAGAGAGCGCTTATTATTATATTAAAATTATTGAAACCAGGGATGGTAGCACATGCCTTTAATCCCAGCACTTGGGAGGCAGAAGATAAGGTGTGTGAGTTTGAGCCTTCCTGCTCTACATAGTGAATCCTGGGTCAGTAAGGACTACATAGTGAGACCTTCTGTCAAAAAAAAAAAATTAAGAAGATTGAGTTATGTGCACATTTTCCCCTCCAGAACTACAGTTAAGTTACAATTCTAGTAACAAAGAATTTAATTTGCACTGGAAGTGATGTGTGTAAAATGCAAAGCCATAGACCCGGGCCATCCATTCAGGATCAGTCGGGGCCACAGTGGGGAAGTGCTGAGGCTGCTTGTACTTGCCATCTCCCATCTCCAGAGTGGAATCTTGTCGGCCCTGCCATTCGTGTTTGGCTGTGTCTGCATTATCCTGGGGGGACTACTGGCAGATTTCCTCCTCTCCAGGAAAATCCTCCGACTTGTGACTATCAGGAAACTCTTCACTGCAATAGGTAAGGGCTAAGTTGGATACTCAGTGACTGTGGGAGCTCTGGAGTCCCCTTTTTATGACTTTTGTTCTACTGCAGGGGTCCTTGTCTCCTCTGGGATCCTCGTGCCCCTGCATTGGGTCAGATCTAGCCGCAGCGCCACAATGGCCTTCTTGGTTCTGTCGTCTGTCTTCTGCAGCCTCTGTGACTCAGGGGCCCTCATAAACTTCTTAGATATTGCTCCAAGGTAGGGACCTTTCTGCCTCATCCTCACAGAAGCTCAGTTGAAGTACAGGAACCCTAGCTACCCTTGCTCTGATGCAAAGGTAGTGTATGCATCAGGTCACAGGGACAGTAATATCAGCGCTACCTCTCTGCAGTTCCTGAAAGGGACTCTGGGCTAGTGGGCCATTGTGAATGCAGCCTTTCCTAGCTGAAATAAGAGCAGTCTGTGGCCATGCAGACACCTCACCTGTAAGTCAATGCTGAAGAATGCAGCAGGTCCATTGGATTGGTTCCTGAAAGTTCTCAAGAAATCCCATCATGGAGGTTCATGTGGAGCTTAAACAAATGGGGAAGGGGGTTGAGAGAAATGGCTCAGTTGGTAAATACTTGCCAGGCAACCATGTGGACTTGAGTTCTGTCCCCAGAACTCACACTGAAAAAAATAAAGTAAAATAAAACAAGCCAGGTATAGTGGTGTGTACTTGCAATCCTAGAGTTGGGAAGCTGGCAAGAGGTACGGATCCCTGTGGCTTGCTTGCAACTGGTCTAGCCTACTGGGCAATTTCTATGCTAGTGAGAGACAATATTCCTAAAGAAATATGGACAACAACTGAAGAATGACACCCAAGGTCATCTTCTGGCCTCCACTTGTAGCACATACATGAACATGCATACTGGCACACATGTGAACACATATACACCCACCAAAATAAAGGGACAAGACATAGAACCAAAGGAAAGAATCGTTATCTCTGGTATGGGTCATGCCAGAGAGAACTGAGACCGGACGTAAAGCTCCCGGGGTCTAATTCAGGCACAGGACATGTTTCATCTTTACACAATGGGCCCCTGAAGCATGTAGGACACAGGCTGGTCTAGAGAACAGCCATCTCATCCCATGAAGGTCTTTGATACAGAAGGAGGAGACATTTTATCCCGAAACAGGGCTACAAGATTGGACTCAGTAGCAAGAACAAGAAGTTGACACGTTAGCATAGATTACCCCTCCAAGGCTGAGCCTGTAGCATAGAGGTATAAGGATCATTAGTTAGCATATGGTGTTCAAGTTTAATATGCACCACCCTAAACCTCCCCAGAGATAAACATAGAGATAGGACAGCACAATTTAACCGAGATGAGCCCTTTGCTTACCTGAGACTTCCCCCTTCCCAGGTACGCTGGCTTTCTCAAGGGACTACTGCAAGTCTTTTCTTATATAGCAGGAGGCATAGCTCCTACAGTTGCTGGATTTTTCATCGGTCAGGTAAGGTTTAAACATTGTAAGAAGTAGCAGTAAGAGAAACTTAATGGCGGTAGTTAGTAGAAGTCAGTCTAATGTGCTGTTAGTTCCTCAGTGAGGAAGAACTCAAAGCTCATGCATCTGGAGTTTTTAACAAACCTTCATTCTCAGCTCAGCTTATGAAGGGAAATTCCATAGTCTGTGGGTGTGGTGCATGTGAAAATGCTCAGGGTCGTGGATTATGGTTTGTGAATTCTTACAGGATGAGCCTCTCATGTTAAAGTCACGTTTCTCATGCATGATCATTCAGCATAGTTTGCCTCAAACTGAGGGCTCTCAGAATTAGTACCAGTGCTGCTGGGATGCCAGTTTTCATTCTAAAGCCTCCATCCTGGAGTTGTGTTGAAGGAGGCCACTTGTTTGTTTCTTGGTCGCCCAGCAGTTCAGACCAGAAATAATCACACAAAACTGTATTACTTAAATCACTGCTTGGTCCATTAGCTCTAACTTCTTATTGGCTAATTTTTACATATAAATTTAATTCATCTCCATTAATCTGGGTATCACCACGTGGCAGTTGCTTACCAAGTAAAGTACCAACGTCTGTCTCTGGCGGGGCTACATGGCGTCTCTCCTTACTCCTCTTTCTTTCTCCCAGCATTCAGTTTAGTTTTCTCCACATACCTCTATTCCCTGCATAGGCCCAAGACAGTTTTCTTTATTCAGTAATGGTAATTACAGCATACAGAGGGGAATCCCACATCAGAGTTGCATTTTTACGTCGTTAAAATAAGCACAGCAATGTGGGACATGCATGTAATTCCAGGACTTGGGAGGCCAGTTTGGCCTTCATTGCCAGACCATGTTTTACAAATAAATCCCTAAAAGAAGAAACAAGTTAGAATAAACAAATAATTAAACCTGATGACTTGCTTAAGAATTATATAGACATCCCTTTCACATGGAAAGGGATGTCTGTGAGATTTATGAAAATCTCACTTCTAATCTTCCCGTGACTTTGTATTAGTAATTCAGAAAAAGACAGGAGATTAGCAAAGAATGGACTTTTGTTTTAATGAAATCAAGTCCCCTTTTGCCTTGAAGCTCTCTAATCTCTGAAAACACACTGTTAGGGATTGGTTAAAATGAAAATTCTCACGTAGACCTTGTTTCTCTTGTCACTTGATTGACTGATTAGTTCATTCATTTAGTCATTCGTTTGCTGATTCAAAAAAACTATTAAATGTTAGTGTGTACTATGTCCATTGTTTTAGCACACACAAACACACACACACACACACACAGAAGTGTCCCAACCCTATCCCATTAAATCTACACTGAAAAACAATTGACAAAAAACTGAAGTAAATTATAGACGGATTGGCGGTAAGTGCTGAGAGAAGCAGAGAGTAGGAAACAAGACCAGTTTATCAATGTGGCCAAAGACAGAATCTTTGAAAAGGTGACTTTAAGCAAGTACTGGAAAGAAGTGAGGGAGTGAATCAAAAGAGTGTCTGATGGGAAATGCTTTCTAGCCGAGGGAAGAGGGGACTGACGGCCTAATGTTAGACATGTAGCAGTATATTCCAGGAAGAAAATGGGCATCATGGAGGTTGGGCTGAGCTAAGAGAAGGAGCATCAAGACATAGCACCCCAACTTTTCTGAACCAGGGTACAAGAAGTAGGCCACCATTGCTAACAAGTAGTTTCCTTGCCTCCAGGATCCAGAGCTTGGCTGGAGAAATGTCTTCTTTCTGGCAGCTGCTATTGATGTCATAGGCCTTCTCTTCTACCTCGTCTTCGGCCAAGCAGAGGTACAGGACTGGGCTAAAGAGCAGACCCGTCTCTGAGAAGAGCAAGCAATGTGTGAGATCCTGACACTTCCCTTCAAAGATCTGATTTTGTGCCTGCTTGGCTGCTAAAGACATCTAACCGAAAGGGGCTTTGTTCCAGGGTCATCTCAGAGATCCTGGCTAGATGATACTAAAGGTATTTCCCCCAACAATTGGAAGTCTCACACGAAAAGGGAGCAATTGGTTGTTTATAACTGTATGCTCCTGAAAGCACAGGTGTGTCCGACTTTCTATGAATCCTCTATACTTTCCCCTGTTGCCATGGTAAAAGCATCAGGGGTTGGAAGATAATTTACAATAAAACTGAAGAGGAAGTCAGAAGTACATGAGTGATGAATTGAACCCATGGAAGAGAGGTACCATGAACTCTGTAAGCTGCCAGCAATAGAGACCTGACAACCCGTACAACAGAGCATCTATAGGCCGAAGTCCTGGGGCAGGAGGCCAAAGTGGACAGTTGCTCTCATGTAAAGTGAGAGGGTTAAAGAGCCATTGTGAGTCTTGGTGTGTGCAGAGGGTCTAACTGAAGCAAACCAGGATAAAGCACAATGAAAAGTGAATCTATCATGTAAACATGAATCAGCTTTCTTCAACTAATACAAGAGGGGCAGTAGAATTCAACCATTCCAGACAGTTCCTGTCTGTGGATCTTGGCTTTGGATCAAAACCACTTCTAGAACATAAGTGCCACTCAGGCACTCTCTGGAGTCAACTCTTCCACAGTTACCTTCTTTTTGACCACTCTGACCTGGACCCCTCAATGGGATGTGGATCTGTGCAAATCCCTTATGTCTTAGTCTTTGGGAGTAGACACGGGCTTGTGTGACTCTGATCTCCTATGTACTGCTTTGCAACATTGGTCTCACAATGACTGCTCCTTGCCTGCTTCTCTGACTCTTGTGGTCTCAGCCACTGTTCAATGGGTCTCATCAATGTAACATGTCTTCTAAAAATGTTGGTAAGACCCAGGCTTGCTCCAGCTCATTTCTAATGTTTAGAGAGTGTGTATGGTGTTGTATGGTGTTTCTTTGCGTTAAGAATCCACATGGACTATAAAAGAGAACATAAACACTCCAACACTAAATAAATGCTAATAAATACATCAGTGTATATGGAGACATGACAGACATCACAGTCATGCACAGTTTGAAATAACTCACTCTCACAGGGGGATAGATGACTTTAATGACAGCATCACAAGCGAGTGTGCAGTGACAGCTGTGGACTATGTAAGAAAGAGGGGCACATCTTAGTAGAATACGTAAGTGCCATGCACTAATTTAAGGGTGAGTGGTAGCCACCACCATTACACAGCCTCAATTGAACTGGTGTTTGAAGATCACCTGATGTAGGAGGCTGATGGATCGAATGTTCTAGGAAAGACCCTCTAGGAAGATCCACAGCATTTGCAAAGGCCTGGTGGTAGAGAGAAAAGGCAGGCATGAACAGGAGCAGAATTGACTGGGAAGTGATTGAAGAAGAAAAATCAGGAGTGAATAAGAGGAAACTGGGCAGTGAGGAGGTTATAGAAGTATTGAAGTCAAGAACCTCCAGGGCATTGTGGACTGAGTGAAGAGTACTGGTCTTTATGTTAAAATAAGTGATTGCATTTTAGTGGGAAGGGACACAAACAGGGTTCTGATTTTCAGTGGTCAGACTGCATAAAAGAATTGGTTAGGAGGTCCCTGTGCAGTCCAGGAGAGTGGTGGTCCATGGTATGGGTGGATGGGGGAGAGAGAGAGAAGCAAGTGGATAGCCTGACCATACTCTAATACCCTAAGAGAGAGTGGATGATGTCCACAGTAACAATTGCAAATTGTTACCGTAAAATTTTGGTTTATTGTTAGGTCAATGGGGATGCTTCTCACAATAACAACACACACAATGAAGACCACAAACAAAAACATGGGCACAAAGGCCTGGATGGCACACATGACATTTGGAGTTCAGTTACAAATTTGGTAACCATTTAAACAGAGGTCATGATTAAAATTTTCAATGTGGATGAGATTGCCTGGGTAGACAGTATGACATAAAAGAGAAAGCCTATAACTAATCCTTTATGGTCAGCTAGAGGATAGAGAAAAGAGGAAGGTGGGGGAAAGAACAGAGAGAGGAATGGAGGAAGGAAGGGAGGGAAGTATAGAAGGCAAACCAAGAGACTAGTATGAAGATGGAGAAATGGAAAGAACAAATTCCAACAAGGAGCAATCGGTCAGTGTGGCATCAATCTGCAGGGATCTGGCTGATGGGGAGGAAGCAGAGTGAGAAGAAAAGGGTCCACTTCTGAGACTTCGGAGGCAAAAGAGAGGGAGGAAAAAAGGTGAGAGGTTCAACGAAAGTCTGGAGCAAGCTATAGAAGACCCCAGAGGCAGAGCTAGCTGAGAAATCAAAGTGGCGTAAACAAAAGCTTCAAGCGTGAAGGAAAGTTCCTGGGAGGGGGATGAGGAAGGACTGCCATGTGCTAAAGACAAGCTGGGAAGATAACAGGAGTGGGATGTAGGTGGTCTCGCCCTTCGTCTGACAGATCAAGGTCATGTCCACATTAGTTAGTGAGAAATCAAAGGAGGGCTTTGTTCTTAGTACCTTTCTTTCTACTTGAAAGTACAGAGGGTGCATGAGTGGTCTGTGGGTAAGACAGAGGCTACAGTGTTCTTGTTACATAGAAGAACAGCATGGCAGAGATGCCCTGCTGGTGGCCAGGCAAGGTCTTTGCCTTCCATACAACCCTGGAACAACCACACATGCTTCCTCTTCTAGTCCATTCATGGCAGTTTCCAACCCCAGAAGGTTCAGGAACCAGGGCATGCATTGTTTTACACATCTTCAACAAAGTATGGGGTTCCATATACAGTAAGTACCGATAAATGTTTAAGTCATGTATTGGAGTAACTCTGGGGTGGTATAGAAGACCAGTTAGAGAACAAAAGGAATGGGAAAGTATCTAGTTTCTGCCCTGTTGCTGTGACAAATACAAATTTGTCACCACCTGGGGTTGGTGGCTCCTTGGGGATGGGAGTCTCACAAATCCTTACAGGAGGAAAGGATTTATTTGACTTACACGCACATCTAGGTCACAGTCCATCATTGACGGGAGTCAGGGCAGGATCTCAAGCAGGGATTTGAAGCAGAAGCCATGGAGGAATGTCACTTACCAGCTCACCCACAGGCTCATATTCTCCTTGCTTTCTTATACAGCCCAGGACTGTGTGCCTCAGGGTGGTGCTGCCCACCACAGGCTGGACTCCCTTGCACCAGCTAACCATCAATCACCCGCCCCCCACACACCCATAGACAAGCCCATAGGCCAGTCTGACAGTCTGATAGGACCAATACTTTGGCTGAGACTCCCTTCTAAGGTGACTCTAGGCTATGTCAAGTTGATGGGTAAAGCTAATGGGGACAGGAGAAAAGGAACCAATTTTACCCCAAATTTATATGCCTTTGCTTTCAGAGCACATTGGTTTTTTTTTTCCTTGTAGTGTTATGTTGTCAGAAACCTGGGTGTGACACCGTCACTCTCTTTGGCAATCTTGGACCTGACTCAGGTCTCATTAAAGCACATAGTCAGGTTCCCAAGGTCTTCATTAATCTCTTTCTTTTCCCTCCCATGACACTTTTATTTTTATTTTTTGATATTTATTAATTTGTATTTTACTCCTACAAGGGTTTTGCCTGCATATATGTCTGTGCACTATAAGTGTGCAGTGCCTATGGAGGCCAGAAAAGGGCATTGCACCCCTGAAACTGGAGTTACTGATGATTGCTAGCTGCCATGTGGGTGCTGGGAATCGAACCCGGGTTCTCTGGGAGAGCAGTCTTCTTAACTGCTGAGCCATTTTGCCAGTTCCGATTTTTGTTTGTTTGTTAATCAGTCATCTTCAGCTCCTGCCTGTAACACGTCTGACTTCTCTCTGGGACCATCAAAGAGGAAACTGATTTTTAAAAATATTTTCTTTCAAATTGGGCCATCCTAAAAGAATATAAATAATTTAAGTTGTTTTTTTTTCCAATGGCTCACATATTTACAACGAAGAGGAATGAATGTTGCAAATTGGAAACAAAATGAACAAAAACAAACCCAAACCAAGAGGCCTTTCATGAAGTTGTAGAGAAAAATTTCATCTTATGTTTGTTTATTGGCTCATTGAGGAGGACAGATAAATAAATCCACCTTTAAACTCAGACATATAACTTGTTGCATACAATATACAATACACAGTGCAGAAGAAGTACACGGACAAAAGCGGGTGAGACTGGTCTCCCAGGTTCCTCGCGCCACCCCCTCCTGGGGTTGGTGGCTCCCTGGGGATGGGAGTCTCACACAGGTTCCTCTTCCTTTTAATAAGGACTCTGACCTCGTGCTTCGTAAGCGCTCAGTTTGCTATTAACTTTTGTAGAAACAGGAAAACAAGACACACAGAGATGTCACTGGAGAGTTGTCACACAGAGAGTGTGCCAGCACCTCAAAGAAATTAATGTAGGCTAGGAGACTTTTCCTCAAGTCGTCTTTCTTGTCCAGTGACAGGTTATCCACGCCATTTTCGCATGTCTCCCCTATGGACATAAAAATAAATATATCTAGCTGCCAGGTGCCACCTTGCCTCCTTCCTCTGCCCTACCCTGGGAGATCTATGTGAAAATATCTGAATCGCTGCTGCATTTTGCTAGGTCCAGTCTCAGGGCCCAAAGATGCTCAGTGCTGTGTGTTGAGGCTGCATCCTGTAAACAAAACAAGCGAGTCAAAAGCCACTGTGCCCGTAGAGCTGGCTCTCCTGTAGTTCTATTGCTGCCCTCAAAACAGCACATTACGTGTGTAATAATAAGAGGTACATTCTCTATGTCCCCACATTTCATCCTTTCATACACTGATTTGTTATTAAGACGATGAAAATAAAACCTTTCCTGGGGACCCTGCACCAAGCACGCACCGCACTCCAACTTCCGGGTCCCTGCACTCAGGCACCATCTGCCCTTTTTAAGAACCATTCCTGACACCCATAGAGGCTGCTGTCTGACACACTGGGGTGCGTCTGACTGTTACCAGGCAGCCGGACCAACTCCTCTGTACTCACACGCCCTATCTAGAGCCTGGAAAAAAATCACGGCCAAGATGCTAACCCAGAGGGTCCAGCCAGGATCCTAACTGGAGCAACAATGAAGAAGGCACACATTATTCTGCTTTGTTTTGTTTTTGTGGATGTGTTTTTCCTGTTTGATTGGTGTGATTTTGTTTTTGCCATTTTGAGACAAGGTTTCACTGGCCCAGAACTCAATATATAGACAGTCTGACCTCAAACTCACAGAGATCTGCCTGCCTTTGCCTCGTGAATATTAGGATTAAAGGTGTGTGTCACCATGTCCAGCCCTGTTCTAGTCATCTTTAAACTGATTTTACTTATTTTTAACTTAAAATTTTCAGTGTATATATTCGATGTATATGATCCATAAGAACAGCTGCTTATAGCTGGAGAATGTGCATTGAGTACGTTCCTCCCATGCCTGCCTTCCCTTTAATTCTTCCTCCTCTCACCCCCAGTTTGTCCCCATTGTTTCCCTAGATGGTTTTGTTTTGATTTCCATGTCCTATATATGATGTTATATATCTGTATGCTTTTTTATGCCTGTGTGTGTGTGTGTGTGTGTGTGTGTGTATTTGAAGCTTTGCATGTCAATTATACATTGACTTATACCTGGCTATCAGCGCCTTGTCAGCTGGACAGAACATTCATTTGCTGCAGGTGTCCCCATGTATTCTGTTCAGTGGGGAAACCGCTGCAGGTGTTTGAACACCTCTCAATGGCATTGTCACTGCCTTGAGTCCACAGATTCATCTACGAAGCTCACTTCTGTCCTCTTAATGTGAGGTGGCCTATCTGTGGCAATATGGTTCTCATAAATTCCCGGAGAGTCCTTATATAATATGGCAAGTTGTGATGTTACAATGGCGTCTTCAGGGTCGTGGGGGAACATAGAGCAGATCGATAACCCCAAAGTGAAGCCTGGGAGAGGTGAGGTGGAGAAAGGCGTTGCAACAATTTAAAAATGCCTGTTTTTACCTGGAGGTCAGAACAATGTAAATATGCCTATTCTTAATTTTGATCATGGTGGCACATACATGTAACTCAAGCACTCAGAAATGGAGGTGGAAAAATCATGAGCTTCAGGCCAGCTTAGGCTGTACAGAAAGTTCAAGGCTAGTCTAAGCTATACTTATTGAGGTCTTGAGTTAATGTACACACACACACACACTCCACAGAAAACAAAAACACTCCTCAAGCTAAACCAACCCCCCCCCAAAGCCACTAAATAAGAGATGTTATCTCTTGACCCTTGCATTCAGTTTTATACTAAAGGTTCTAAGCAGAGCAACTAGAGAAAAAAAATTAAGATTATTCAGATAGGAAACAGAAGTAAAATTATCTACATTTATAGATAACAGAATCATTTATGTAGAAATCAGACAATATGCACTAAAAATTAAGATAAGCTTAATGAAACTGTAGGACATTACAAAAGTTAATTACATTCCTACTGTATTTAATACAAAAGTTAAACTGAGAAAACAACTCCATTTAAAATAGAATTTAAGAACCAAGCACAGTAATGTCCATTTGTAATGCCAGTGCCTGAGAGTGGGGGTTATAAGTTCTGGGCTAGTCTGTTTGGGCTCCACAGTGAGTTCCAAGCCCATCCAACATCACCACACGCTGGTTCTAGCTCTTACCTAGGAGCTCTTGGGTAACACACTCAGATACTACGAAAGTGCACTAACATCAACAACAGAAAGGACCAATGAGCAGGGGCTCATACATAACATCAACTTACAAGCGACTGCATCCCCCTCCAAAACAAACAGCCAGGAGCAACAACAAAACCCTCTTTGATGCTACATTTCTCTCTATTCCTTTTCGGGAGGAGTATCTGTTTATTCTGTGTCTGTTTCCTCACATCGTATTTTCTCTTTTTGTTTCTACAGATAGAACAGACAACGGAAAATTGCAGAAAGCAAATAGTTGGCTCAACGGTTTGCAAGCACAAGGGCCTGAGTTTGATTCCCTGAATCCATGTAAAAATGCACGGTGTAGGGGCACATGCTTGTAACCTGAGCACTGGGGAAGCAGAAACAGGACGATGGCTGAGCCTGATTGGCCACCCGGGGGGACTCAATAAGAGACTGACTCAAAAGAGGTGAACCCTAAGAAAAGCATACATAGATCCACCTGGAAAGGGGAAATAGAATCGCCTGACAAGATTGGGAACATGGGGGCAGGGAGAGTTGGGAAAGTGGAAGGGGAAGGCAAGGGGAGAAGAGGAAGGGGGAGGAGAACTTGGGGGAACAGGATAGTAGGGATGGAGGAAGGACAGAGATGAGAGCAAGGAAAGAGATGGTTTGATTGAGGAAGCCATTATGGGACTAGCAAGAAACCTGGCACGAGAGACATCCAGGAATCCATAAGGATGACCCCAGCTAAGACCCTAAGCAATAGAGGACAGGGTGTCCAAACTGGTCTTGCCCTGTAGTCAGACTGATGAATATCTTATACATCACCTTAGAACCTCCATCCAGCAACTGATGGAAACAGAGGCAGAGACCTGCATCGGAGCACTGGACCGAGATTCCAAAATCCAGTAGAAGAATGGGAGGAGTGAGATTATGAGCAAAGAGGTCAAGACCATGATAGGGACACCCACTGAAACAGCTTATCTGAGCTAATGGGAGCTCACCAACTCCAGCTGAACAGGGAAGAAAACAGCATAGGTTCATACTGGGCCCTCTGAATGTGGGTGGCACCAGGATTTATCTCTACTGCTTGTACTGACTCTTTTGGATCCATCTCTAGATGGATGCCTTGCTCAGCCTAGATATAGTAGGGAGGGCCTTGAACATTTCCCCAAAGCAATGTGACTTACCCTCTCTGAGGTGTGGATGGGAAGTGGGGTGGGGGGAAAGATGGAGGGAATGGGAGGAGGGGAGGGAGTAGAAACGGAGATTGGTATGTAAAATAAAAAAAAGGATAGTTTTCTTTCGTTTAAAATAAAATAAAGTAGAAAGAAAGAAAGGAAGGAAGGAAGGAAGGAAGGAAGGAAGGAAGAAAGGAAGGAAGGAAAGGTGAGCAGCAGCAGCATGACGATAGCACACACACACACACACACCACACACACACACGCCACACACACACACACACACACCACACACACACACACACACACACACCACACACACACACACACATACACACCACACACACACGCATATTAGCCCAGTCACATGTGCATTCTCTTCCCCGCGCCTAAGAAGAGGGGCTCTCAGTCTCTTTTTGTCTCTCCTAACAGCTGCTGGCATTTATCACAACAGGGTGTCTTGATTCAATGGGGCTTGAAAATAGGGCTGTTTCCCAACTGCCAATTCTAATCCACGAGTCTTTTCTTCTCCGGTTTATCCACTACCCACATTTTAGATGAAACTTTCACACACTATCAGACTCTCTTTGAGCACACCTTAACCGGCCTCCTGTCTCCATCATTTATTTGAAAGTTGTTTCTGTCAGGATCATCCCTATGCTAGGTGTGCCTGACCCAGCAGTAGGTTTTAGAGCCTATCTAAAGATGTTAAGTCCTGGACGGCGCTTTCCAGAGATATTAGTTCCTTCGCCTCAACACTCATTATTCTACACTTTCCTGAGGGCAGGTCCTTATCTCTTTTGCATTTCTCTTAACTGCTCATTTCTGAGAACCTCAGTTTCCCAGACTTGCTATAGCAACTCTGATCTCTCCCCAGAACTGTGTAGTGCTGGGTGGGGCGGTTATCAGTGATAACGGTTCAGATTTAGCATGCTTCCCCTCTGCCAATCCCAGTTCTCCATCTGGGCCACCCAGCAGCAGCGGCTCTCTTCCCTGCAGCTTTAGTTTCAGAATTTAATCTGGCAATGTCTCACCTTCACAGTCGTGTGTTTCTTGTTTCTTTAGCCCAGTCCTGAATTTCTCCTTTAGCAAATATATTGTAGAAAGTTAGGCACGTCACATTAATGCCGGACATCAAGAAGAAGATTTTATGCCATGCATTTTCTGGATCCTGAGGGATTGAAATACAAATGAGTGTGAGTGACTGATCTTGATTTTGTATCTGACGACATTCAGAATACAGCATTAAAATAGTATGTAGATGCAACACGGGTCACTTCAGCATTCAAAACACTTATAAATGACAACGAAAGCCATCATTTCCCTCTACACCAGTAACTACTTTTAATTACATACATACATAAATTTATAAATTTCTCCTTTCACCAGCTGTAAATATGGCATATTTTTTCTTCTTGTTGGGGGATTATTTTTAATTTTTATTTATTTTTGGTTTTTTGAGACAAGGTTTCTCTGTGTAGCCCTGACTGTCCTGGATCTCACTCTGTTGACCAGACTGGTCTCAAACTCACAGATCCACCTGCCTCTCTCTGCATTCTGAGTAGTGGGAGCAATGGGGTACCCCACCATCGCCAGGCAATATACCAGTTTCTTGTAAAGAATGCATCTTTTTGGCATGATTTATTATTTCGAAACTTCCTGTCTCTTTCAAGACATTTTATCCAGACAATGGTGTGTTGTATCAGATAGTCACATATAGATAGGCATGGAAGGAAAGTGTGTTTTCAAATGCACTTGGCCCATTTAACCAATTTTTATGCCCTACATCTATTTTTTTTTTTAGCCATCCTATGTTCAGTAATTATTATTTTTCTCCGATGCCTTTCACATGATTTCATGTTTCTCATGGCAGGGTGCTGACACAATTACGAGAAAGCATTCCAGGTTTTCTTTCTCAAGGCCCCCACAGTATTAGGTGTGGTGCACACAGCTGTGGTCTCAGCACTTGGCTGGCAGAGGCAGGAGGAGAGATGCCAGTAAGAGGCCAGCACAGGATGTGCAGTGAGTTCCAGGCCAGCCAAGCCTACACAGCAAGGTCCTGTCTTGAACAAAACCCCAAATCCCTTCAGTTAGTCTTAGCCCTTTGTGGACACAGGTTAGTTGAATAAAAACATTTATCATTTCCCACAAAAATAATTTAAACGTTTATTTGCGATTGTATTTAACCAACAGATCTTATAACAGAATTCAAAATCATTTTATAGCTTTTCAAGTCTTTTAATAGAAGAAATGGTGTGTCTTGTCATTTAGGAGAATTTTTTAATTCTGTAAAAATTATCTCCTGATTTCTCCGCAGATATGTAAATCATTTATTAAATACATTCTTAGCTATATTATTTTATTTTAGGGTTATAAATGATGTACTAAAATTATCTCTGTGCTATTTATTCAGATATTTAGAAAATACTTCATATGGTCATTGATTTATACAGTTTATATATTTATACTCTATCAGAAACCACACCAAAACTTTTGTTAATTGTCATACTTTAGCTGTAGCCTTCTGATTATCTTTGAATGTCTCCTTCTTAACTCTTCCTCTTTTCATGTCTATTTTTATATTTCCACTAGAATACAGCACAAAGCTAATAAGGTCATTGCATCCTTTTCTTGTCACAGTGTCAAAGGAAAACCGTCTCACAAAGCGCTGACGTGTTGTTTGCTCTGGGGTTTAAGTCAGTGTTTCTCTTCCCTCACACTGAGGAAAAGGCAGACAACCTTCCTGGGTAGAGACAGCATTACAAAGTTCTAAAACCACATTTCCTCACGCCTTTCGGAAGTTAGTAGAGAAGTTTGTTCAGCTGACAATAATTTGAAATCAGTTCAGGGGATTCAAGAGATGCAGCGGAACAGCAGGGTGTGGCTGGCTCTTAAGGCTCAGAAAGAGAACTAATCCTAGTTACCTTGAGTTTCCCCTCTCTGGTGAGGCCAGCGTTCCTCCCAGGGCGTTTCTGTGGTGCTGTCTGTGGTTTCTGCCTTCATGGCACCATAAGTATGCACAGCAGGATTTCGGGAAGCTCTTTGATGGGAAATGTGGCCACAATGTATGTTGACCACCACACCCTGCCCCTTGCTGTGTTGCGGGTGGGAGAAATTCCCAACACAGTTAATCCACCTGAGAGCTTGCCCTCCAAACAAACCAGTTGAGGAGCTAATGAAATTGATACGGGGTGGGGTTGGGGTAGATAAGAACCCGTTTGTATTTTATGCTGTGGAAGGTGCTTTAGTCTTCCCATAGGTAGAAAGGCTCATGTATATTATCAGTAACTGCACACAGTACTAGCAGCTGGCTGTTCTGAGTTAATGCTCCAGCCCGGTTGGAGGAACAAGGGTTGATATAATCAGACACTGACTGAGCATTTCAAAAAGGAACTGGTCTCAAGCTTCTGGAGAACGAGGGAAAAGTGCAAGGCACAATGCACAGACATCACAAGTCTCCAAAATGTCCTGATCATCTGACCAGCAGGGCAAGATGGAACTCTAGAATGATTAACCGCTTCCCTTTAAACCAGCTGGCTACAGCTTTCCCTAGGCTGTTAACCCACTGCCTTCTCAACTCACTGAATCAAACATTCAGGATAGTACTACGAAGAGATGCAATTCCTGTCTCTGCTCACAGCTTTTGTGGTGGCAGGAGCATGACCTTGAGTATTGCAGATACAGAATGAGGGTGCAGCCCTTTCTCGCTATACATGCCCATCCTGTCTTTGCTTTTTCCGGTAAATGTGTATCTGTTGATCCTCAGCAGCTAGTGGCCCTGTGGTCATTCACCTCCTTGAACTCAAATTTTCTGAATCTCTAAAATGTTCTTTTATTTGCTTTCTTTCTCAAGAGGAAGCGTGGATTTTCACACTGCTGTTATCTCTGTGTGCCACAGGCTGTGGGCATGTGAGAACATGGCTGTGCCCCTGCAAGGATGTGGAGGTTAGAGGACATGTTTGTGAGTTGCTTCTCTCTTTCCACCTTTATGTGGGTTCCAGGTTTTGAACAAGGTTGTTAGGCTTTTACAGAAAGAGCTGTACCCCCTGAGCCACCTCACCAGCCTGAAACACATATTGTTTTTAAGTAACTTTAAATTGGCAGAGTCTTTTAACTGCGTTCACCAAGAGGATTTTAAGGAATTCTGGTACAACTGCTGATGTAGGGCCTCAGCAGAAGCTACAGCGCCCTTTAACCTTTAGCACCTTGTCTTCCTGTCTTTAACTTCTTTTCTGACAAAGCTCCTATTGGTGCTTCCACCACCCTCCCTCAGCCAAATCCTGTTTCAACAGCTACTGTTCCCTGTTAAAACCAGAGACCCATTTCCTTTCAAACAGCCGAAGAGTTCCCAGTACTGCCAGCTGACACGCAGTGAGAAAGAATATATTGTCTGTAAGAGTGTAGACTCAGTAGACCACCTGCTGTTGTGGTCTCCTCCAAGGTGTGTGTGTGTGTGTGTGTGTGTGTGTGTGTGTGTGTACTTTCTTTATGCAATTAATAGCAAAACAAAAACAAAAACAAAATACAACTAAGCTTTTCTGCTTGCTACTTACCTGATTAAGGATCAACCCAGCTACAGTTGAAGAAATCAGGCCTCCAATCATTCCAATTAAAGCTGAAACTGCTTTAATAAATCCATAATAGCTGTACAGAAAGGAAAGAGAACAAAGAAGAAAAGTGGTACAAATGCTTCAGGCAAAGCTACCCCAATCCAGTGAGGCTCGCAGGGGGAACTGCTGATGCTGTGAATACCCATTCCAACTGCTTATGTTCAAACAGCGGAAAACAGACACACATGATAGCAAGTTTTCATTGTCCTACATTGTCAGAAAGGGTTACCTTTAGCAGGAAGGAATCTATGATATTATGGAAACGGTCAATGTTTAGAGTGAAACTCAGCAGTATTTGAGACTTCCAAGTACAGCCAGGACATTCAGAAAGTGATGGGTGGCCGATAGGAACTGGATTGGGCTGATGCCTGAAGGTCTCTGTTCACTCGGTCTAATCACACAGACCCAGAGCTCCTGACCCCAAGGATCGCCGACAGTCCTCTGATGAGGAGCTGGAAAGGCTGTTTATGAGCAGCCATGATTGACCAATCCTGGAGTTTCATATCAGCCTTAGCAGGAAAGGAGCAAGAAAAACAAGGCAGCCACAGAAAGTCATAGACCCAAGAAAGGCCAAGACTATCAGTCCCCCAGAGTGAGGCAGTGCTTAGTCAAGTGCAATTTGGTTCAGGCCTGGGACCCTTGGCCCTTCAGCCAACACTAGAGGATCTGTATTAGAAGGTCTCTCTGCTCATGAGTAGCAAAGTCTTCAGAATGTTTTGTTTATTTCCTTCGGTCTATACTGTATCACTTTGCCTCCACACGTTCGAAGTGGGAGGAGCTCAGAGCTTGTCAGTCAATCTATCGGCCCTTGCTCAGGAAAGGGTCACAGCTGAACCCTGGGTTTAGCTGAACTATGAGGTCCTAGATTAGAATTTTGAGCTGAGTCCTGAGAGAGGTGGATAGTGTATCCTTCTAGGATATTATCCTTTGATAATAGGTCCACCTCTGTTGTGAAGAATACATAAGCTCGTGAGCCGCCCCAGGGATTGGTGGTGGCAGGGACCATTAACTGGCCTCAGTTTACAAAGTTCACCTATTTAGTGTAGCATCAGAACCCTTTGACAGAATTGGGGCAAGTTATGACTTTTCTGGGACCTTGTTCTGTCTTTATGAACTCCATAAAAACACCGGGACACATACACATATAAATTAGGCACAAAATTTTAGACTTACCAAGATAGGATAGATGTGGAGTATTTTCTCTGAATTTGTCATATGCAAACGGACTAGACATTTTAATAACCAAAATAGAATGAATATGGAGTATTTTCTCTGGATTTATCATATGCAAATGGACTAGACATTGTTTGTAGTGGCATTTCAATTGTATTTTAATAAGTAAAGACGACCTGAAGATTTGAGAGTAAAATAGTCCCACTAGTTAACCTTATAGATCAGGTTATGGTAACACACCCCTTTAATCCCATTAGCCACAATGACACACACCTTTAATCCTTGAGGTGCACAACTTTAACCCCAGCCCTATGGAGGAATATAAGGTGGGGGCGGTAGGGAGACAGCTCTCAAACACACAGTCTCATTCTGAGATTCCAGAAGGCAGGATCATCATCACTTCAGACTGAGCTAGTGGCTGACTGTCTTGCTTTTCAGAACTTCAGGTCGAACCCCGAGATTTTATTAATTGTGCATCATTTGGAGCCCAGCATTGTTAGGGGCTTGGCTGCTATGGACTTGGTTGCTAGATTGTTACTACAGGAGGTGATAGAAAGATGAGACATCTTGGAAGGCCTTTAGGCTATTGGGAGGATATGCCCTCAAAGGAGGTGTAGCCATTCCATTCCTGACCCATTTTCATGTCCCAGATGGGAAGAAGTTTTGGTTTGCATGCACTCCTGACCCAAAGCAATGGAACTAACCCATAAAGAACTAACGTCTCTGGAACTGTGACTCCAAATCAACCCTTTCTCATAAATAGGTTTACTTCAAGTATTCTTTTATAGTAACAGAAAACCGACTAACACAAATTCCAAACCAGTGGTAATAATTTAAAAATTAAATATTTGAAAACAAATCTCCTTGGCAGCAGAGTAAATCTAGGCTGTTGTGAATTAGCATCTCAACTTGCACGTAATAGCAGGAATGAGGACGTAGGCATTCACTGTGTGCCGAAGCACTACTGTGCACAGTTTGCCTATGTTAAATTATTCCGGACTCTTTATTTTATTATTTCATTTTCTCTGTGTGTGTCAGAGACTCTCTATATATATATTGCTAGGTGACCTCAGTCTGATCCTTCTCCTTCTTCTGCCTCCTGACTGCTGGGTTATAAAAATGTATATAGAGAGTACATATGACCATACCAGAAAGAATGGTATTTTAAAATCATTACTTAATAACAAATTAAGAAAAAATACAATAATATCTTTTAAAAGAACTAGAAAAAATGTAGTTAAGAATAAATTTAACCAAGGAGTGGACTGATCTGTACTCTAAATCGATAGGACATTGATGAACCGAAGACATGCCAAGTTTATGGATCAGGAGAATGAAAATTAGCAAAATGTCTGTTTCTTAAAGTGATCCAAACACTCTATTCAAGCCTTGTGAAAATCCAAATGATACTTTTCACAGAGATAGAAAAGAAATGGTTAATGGTTAAAGTATACATATATATGACTTCACAAAGGTGGACAAAGGCAGTCCAAGGACAAAGAACAAAGGAGGGGGGCTCACACCGCCTTTCCTCAAATAGACCTCAAAGGTATGGCAGCCAACAGGAAAGGAAAAAGGAGAACAAATAATATTGGAACCAATTATACCTACTTACAGAAGAGAACAGAATTGTGCCTTTCTTCCAGACAATATATAGTGCATTGACTCAAAAGTAACTGAAGACCTGAAACTATAAAGCCATGAGAAAGAAGCACTGTGGGAAACTCCAGGACTTCAGTTTGGACAACATTTTTTTTTTTTTTTGATACGACTGAAAAAAAAATCTCAAGCAACAAAAGCAAAAGGAGAAGAACGGATGACTTCAAACTACAAACTTTCTGCAAAGTCAGGGAAGCAGTCAGTGGGGTGAAGAAGCAACCTATGCAGTGGGGAAATGTAAAGCACACATTCGCTAGGGGTTAGTACCAGAAATACATCAGAAGTGCAGCTCACTGTCCACCTAGGGGAACACGAGTAAAGAACCCAGATAGATCCTTTTCAAAAAAAGGCCTAAATGGTCAACAAATACATAAGGAAAATTTTCAACCTCACCAATCATCAGAGAAATGCAGATTCAGAACGTCGTGGGATGTTGCCTTACCTATTAGGAGGGCTGTGATGGAAAGAATGAGAGAGGGGTTGGCGAGAGGCAGAAAACTGAGCTCGTGCGGCAGCCACTATAGGAAACAGAATGAAGGAGCCTCACCATATGTCCCAGCACTCCGGCTGCTGGGCACGTATTAGAGAGAGACTGAGTCAGCGCGTCAGACATCTGCAGTGGCCTGTTTATCGCCACATCATCCACTCGGGTAAGACACAGAAAATACCAGCGTCCACCAGCACTAAATGGATAGAGTCTGTGTGGTCTGCACAACAGAATGCTATTGCCTTTAGAAGAAGGAAATCCTGTCTTTGTTTAACAATATGGATGAGCTTGGAGGATATAATGTTGAGTGAAATAAGCTGGTCACAGACAAATGACCCATGATATCATGTACATGTAGAATATAAAATGTTGAATTCATTGATGTAGAGGATAGAAAGGGTGTTATTGGAGTCTAGGGGCGAAGCGAGATATTTAGAAGATGTTGGCTGAAAGATGCAATATTTCAATGAGAGTGAATACATTCAAGAGACCCATCAAACAGCACAGTGCCTGCCACAGCAATGGGTTATAATCTTGAAAAGAGCAACTATGATAGATTTTAAGTACTTTCATTACAAAACTAAGGAACTGTATGAATAATGTATACGTTACTTAACTCCATTTAATCATCCAACAATGCATCCATTTCAAAACATCATCCTATACACAAGAAATGCATGTCATTTTATTTATTAATGCAAAAGTAAGTAAATTTTAAGAGAGCCCTACCTGGGAGCAATATCCAAGGCGTTGATATGCTGTCCACAGAAGGAAAAGGTGAGTGTCGAGTTGGCGAGTGTCAGGAAGATGATGGTGCTGTAGAAGCTGGAGCTCAGGTAGAGCAGGCACATGATGAAGATCACAGGAGAGAGAATCCCTGCAGAACGACCCAAACCGTACAGTTAGGTGCTTCTGAACACAAGGCTGAAGGACTCCCCAAGGGCTCGTCTGTCCTGACTCTTCCTTACCTAGTGTGGAGAAGAGTTTCCGCACGTTAACTACGCTGAAAATCTTCCGGGACAGGAGGAAGTCTGCCATCTGACCTGCTACCATGCCACAGATGTAAGCAAACAGATAGGAGAGGCTGGACAGCAGCCCGTTCTGAGGAGGAAACATCATCCTGAGTGCACACGGTGGAGACACAGTTCCGTGCAGCCAGCACATTCACTAGATTTCAGTAACTAATGTGTACTTTAGATTTGGAGATGTGACTCAGTGGTTGAGTTCTTGTCTGCCATGGCAAAAGTGCTGGGTTCAATCCCCAGTCCCATCTAATTAATGAATGAATTAAATGTGTGCTTTGATTCAGAAAACCATCTGGTATTAGAACTGTGTCTGGGGGGGCTGGAGAGATGGCTCAGTGGTTAAGAGCATTGCCTGCTCTTCCAGAGGTCATGAGTTCAATTCCCGGCAACCACATGGTGGCTCACAATCATCTGTAATGAGGTCTGGTACCCTCTTCTGGCCTGCAGACATACACACAGACAGAATATTGTATCCATAATAAATAAAGAAATATTAAAAAAAAACTGTGTCTGGAAACACAAGGTCCAAGGAAAGGGAAACATAGTTTTGATGTTAGTAAGAATTGTCACCATCCTCTATCGATTTTTGTTTTCAGTGTCATGGGACCTGGAAAACTGCAAGAGAAGACCACTGAGATCAGGAAGTGTCAGCCCTGAGGGAAATGATAGAGGACAGAGATGATAATTGATGATGGACAATTGCGTGTTTGCTCTAACTGGCCATGGCTAACTCTAGGAATGACTCCGTGGTTTCATTAAGTTGAATCGGTGAGAGCGTGTATGACCCCAGCACTTTACTGGCCACTACCCTGAGGCAGTGAGTACACTACACAACGTTCCAAAGTTGGGAGCCCAGACTCCATTTCTGTGGCAGTATTTCTGGGTTACCTTGATATCAAATGACAGGAAGTTCCAAGCATAACTGACGTCCAATGTCAGATAAACAATGGGAATCCTTTAAGAGTAAGACCCAAAGCCCAGGAATTATGGTTTTATCCCAAGACAATGGGTTGACAAGAGCTGGGCACAGTGTCAGGGGTCGGCTCAGTAACTTTTACATTAGGACTCCATTTCCTGAAGAGAATGGTACTGTCAAGCTATTTTCATTTTTTTGAGATAAAAATCTCACACTGTGGCTCAGGTTAGGCTCAAAGTTAGAGCAATCTTCCTGCTTCAGGTGCGTAAGAACTTAAATGATAGGCAGTCATTCACCACAATACTAACTTGTAACAGGTCTTAAGTAACAGGCTAAGATATATATTGAGGGAACCCGGGGGACTGTGTGGAAATGTGGCTGCATGTGTGTTGATGGTAGAATTTCAGACACTGTGTTTATACCAACACCCTTTGTCTGGACAGAGTTCACATGTAGGAAACAATGCATCTCCAGGTAAAGTCCACTAGCCAGTGTAGGTAGCAGGCAAAGACTGAGTCTTTGGTCATAAGACACAGAGAGATGGGGAGGGGAGTCCTTTACGAGTTAAAGATGAGAAAAGGTGGTACACTTACCTCTCTAATGTTAACATGAAGCACGGAGCTGATAAATGTTGGAGTATATGTAACCAGGAGGCTGTTGGACCATATGAAAGCAAAGGTGTTGAGGATAATAGCCCAGAGCGGAAGAGACTTAAACATAGCTTTGATGGGCAGAGATTGTCTGCGCGAGCTGACCTGGGAAAGAAATCAAGAATCATTCAAAATGAGGATCATCTGGAATGTGTTTTGTTTGGAGCGGAATCTAGCAGCTGCCCCAAAGGAGCTCAGAGTTCTACCTGCTGGGGAAGAGAGGATGTGATGTAGGCCTTCTCACTGCTGCTCATATATGGGTGGTCCTTGGGGTCATCATAGAACAGAAGGAACCAGCAAAGACTCAGGATACAGCCCAAAATACCTATTAGAGAATCACATGTTACCAGGAAGTTCTACCTGGAGTTTGGGATCAAACACATTTCAGAGCATCGGCCTGAGAATCTAGGTGGTCTCTTTCTTCTCTGAAACCCTGGGAGGCTCAGACATTGATGGTCTTTGTAACCACAGCTGGCCCTTGCTGTGGTGTACATGTTACTGATATGCTCGTGTCAGTGAACCCTTTGTTCTGGCCCGATCCAGTGAGTCCATCTACTCCCTTAGGATTCACTAATGTTGGGCCTTTATATTTTCAGATTGGTAATGGCTCCCTACCTCAAGAGGGAGCCATACTGAGCTTTCACAGAGCTAGACAGCCACACAACCACTACTGCAAGCGTAGATGTGTTTCCCTATTCTGACTCTGCCTTTGGCACACTATGGGAATTATGCATTTTCTGTAACCTTGTGACAATGACTTAGCCATAGATGGCTTGAATAAATTTCAACAGGCCTTCTGCCCCTGTACTTTCCTTTTGAATTTGGCCAATAGAAAGCCTGAGAAGGCTTCTTCTTCTGGAAAACACCAAGTGGTGGATGGTGCTAATTCAACGGGGGGGGGGGCGATTAGGAGGCCACACAGTGGTCTTAGGGGCCGCGGGGTTCGCAGAGGTAAAGCTGAAGACAAGGGGTGGATCCTCATCACCAAGCTGGGCCGCCTGGCTAAGGACGTGAAAATCAAGTCCCTAGAGCAGGTCTTCCTGTTCTCCCTGCCCATCAAGGAATCTGAGATTATTGTTTTATTTTTCCTGGGAGCATCCCTAAAGGATCATGCCAGGGCAAAAGTAGACTAGGGCAGGCCAGTGGACCAGGTTCAAGGCTTTCGTCGCTACTGGGGACTACAATGGTCATGTTAAGTGCTCCAAGAAAGTAGCCACTACCATCCGTAGGGCCATCACCTTGGCCAAGCTTTCCATTGTCCCTCAGAGGCTACTGGGGGATAAGATTGGCATGCCCTACCCAGTTCTGTCCAAAGTGACAAAGTGACGGGGACAGGTTGTTGTGGTTCTGTGTGACTCATTCCTGCCCCCAGAGGCACTGGCATAATCTGCGCTCCTATGCCCAAGAAGCTACTGATGATGGCTGGCATTGATGATTGCTACACATCAGCCAGAGGCTGCCCTGCCACCCTTGGCAACTTTGCCAAGGCCACCTTTGATGCCATCTCTAAGACACAGCTACCTGACCCCCGACCTCTGGAAAGAGACTGTGTTTACCAAGTCTCCTTATCAGGAATTCCCTGACCATCTTGTGAAAACCCACACCGGAGTCTCTGTTCAGAGAACCCAGGCTCTAACTGTGACCACCACATAAGGATTTTTATACAAGAAAATTAAAAGAGAATTAATTCTGGGGAAAAAAAGGTCTGGGAAGGGATGAGAGGAAGAGGGCGAATGAGTACAGGGTATCTTTTCAAACCTGCGATATCTCCCTCCTAGAGTTAACTCCTTTTATGTGTTTCTTTGTGAATAAACAGGGGTGTTCTTCAGGCATCCAGTCTAGGGACTTTCTGATTGGTTCTAATAACTCTGGTTCACTTGCTCTCTTGGGGTAGAGAGGTAGTGGTAGCTCTTGTAACCCGACTTTACATTATGACATTGTCCTGATAATTCTACAGTATATCTTTTCAAGTAATTGCATGATAAATGTGATGGTTTGAGTGTGAATGGCCCCTTAGACTCCTGTGTGAATGTTTAGTCCTCAGTTGGTGGAACTGTTTGGGAAGTATTATAAGGTGTGGCCTTGTTGGAGGATGTATCACCGGAGGTAGGTTTTGTGCTTCCAAAAGTCCACAGCCTCCCAGTTGATTCTCCCCACCTCCCCGTCTCTGCCTCACAGTGGTTGTCTCAACATGGAAGTTCCCAGCTACTCTTCCGGAGCCACGGCCACCTCTCTGCTGCCCTGCTCCCTACCACGATGGTCCATGAACTTATCCTCTCAAACTGTGAACAAGGCCCCAAATTAAATGCTTTTTAAATAAGCTTCCTTGGTCATGATGTCTTATCACAGCAATAGAAAAGTTCCTAAGTCAGTAAAGAAATCCCAAGTTTGCCATAATTGTGACTTTGAACAATGTGACTTGAGTGTGAAATGTCCCAAGAGCCTCTTGTGCTGAACACTAGGTCCCCAGCTGGTGGCGCAGAAGTGAAAGGTTGTGGAATCTTTGTGAGGCGCAGGGAGCCCTGGAGGGAGTTAGTCACTGGGAACCAACATCGCAGTTTGAATCCAATGGTGATGCTATAGTTCACTTGGCAGCATCTGTTCTTTATTATGTTTACTTACTCCAATTTGTGCAGTGCATTTTTCTTTGAAGACGTTACTATGCCTGGTTACAGCCTAGCCCTGCAGGTATAGATTATATATAACATACTCATCTTATGACCTTTCGAAGATCAATATAGGTAACTATTATGATAGTCTGTTCCCCCAGAGAGCTTCTTACATAAGATATACCAAACTGTAGCATGTAGTTATGTAAACTGGGTAGGAGATTACAAAGTGTATTTCTCATCATCAGCACCTTGAATGCTGATTACTCTTCCCCTTAGTGATGACTGTGGGCTTATCATCATCACCATCATCATTATTAGTCATAGTAGCATTATTACATCCTGACCACAGTTTCCCCTCCCTCCTCTCCTCCCAGTCCCTCTCCGCCACGTCCTCTCTGACCCCCCAGGTTTTTTTTTTAATAGGTATTTCATACAAATTGTTAAGTTATACTAGATTTAGATTTTTGTGTTTATTCTTAAACTTTGATGCCTTACTGAGATTTTATAAAAAGAGACTCACCGAAAATGTAGAAAACCATGGGCCAACCCAGAAGATCACAGATGAATCCACTCACAAGAAGGACAATAAATGGTCCCATTACAAATCCTAATCAAAGGGCACAGAAGACATCCCTGTTAACTTAACAAAGGCCCCTGAAAATTCAGCCAATAAACCTCTGTGTTGTAATGAACAATCTCCATGAAAGAAGTTTGTTTCCAGTGCTCAAGAGGAACGGAGAAAGTCTTTTCTCTTCTCTCTTTTTCTGTTGTTTGAGGTAAGGATGCTGCTTTTTCATTCTGAAACAGTGTGTGTGTGTGTGTGTGTGTGTGTGTGTGTGTGTGTGTATCCATGTACATTCATTTGGATGTCAGAGGTTGAAGTCCAGGGTTTTCTTCTCCTATTCTCTGTATCAAGACATGGTCTTTCAGTGAACTTAGAACTCACTGTTTCAGCAGGGCTGGCTGGTCAGTGGGCCTTTGGCCTACATCTGTCTCTGCACCAACTGTGCTGGAATGATAATTGTGTGATCCCATGCCTGCTACTTTACATGGGTGCCAGAGTCCTCATACTCGTGTGAGAAACATTTTATTCACTTAGCCATCCTCTCTCACCTAATCAAAGCAAGAATTTTGCAGGGATGTTTCTAAAGCCCCTAGCAACTCAATGCACAAGTTTTTAAATGGTGTTCGGAAAGACCATGACACAAGGAGATGAAAATGGGACTTAACCATGCTTGGCTTAAGTACTTACCCGATAACGTCATGGAGGTAAGTCGGCCTCGTTCCAAGGGTGGTGCCCATTTGACCCATATTTCATGTTGGCCTGTTGATACTATCCCCTGAAATGAAAAGATGAGGGTTTTGAACTCTAATACTCTGAATCCGAGCTCTATGTCTGTTTGAATCATGTCTTAATACCTGGGCTACTCCCTGGAGTACTCGACACACAATGACCAAAGCTGCTCCAACCTGGGCCGCTGGTGGGATGAGCATGGAGAGCACAGAGCTCAGGAGCATTGAAAACCCAAGTATTCTCTTCATTGGGTATATTCCAGACAGGTACCCAATGGGAAGCTGAACCACGACCATACCAAAGAAGACAGAACTGAGGATAAGCCCTTGAATATCAAGACTCCAAGAATACACAGGGTTCTAAAAGAAAAAAAAAAAAAAAGAGGAAACATGTCTAAGGATTCTGCATTGGAGATAAAATCTGGTGTTTATGGGTTCCAGGAGTGTGATCTTCCTGCTCAGTCTGTTTAAAGTAGTCCCTCCTCTTCCTAAAGTTTATTTTTTGTCTCAAAACAACTTGGTTATCTTATAATGTCATTTTGCATATGTATTTACATTTTATCATTGATATTTTCAATTATAGATTAAGTATCTCTTATCTGAAATGTTGGGACCAGAAAGATTTCAAATTCTTTTGGATATTGGAGACGCTGGCAGCAGCCGTGAAGCAACCGATTACATTGCACCCTTAGTTAGGAAGAGAAAGAGACAAATGCTGGAGCCCACCTGTTTTCTCTTTTCATCCATACCGAAAGGCCAGTCCACTGAATGCTGTCATCTACATTTAGAGTGAGTTTCCCCACCTCAGTTAACACAATCTAGAAACTCCCTCACAGACGTGAGTGTGTCTCCTAGGTGACTCTCGATCCCTGCCAAGTTCCAATCAGAGTTAACCATATCTTTTCCCTTGGTAAGGTACATTCTTTTTTGCCCCCATTTCTTTCCCAGAGTTCTTACTCTAAAGAAGTTTTAACTTGTGGTTTTTGTTACCCCTTAACCTGAAATCATACAACAAACCCTTCCAAAATGACGAATTATTCTTTTTACATATTAAAAGGTTTGTTTATGTATTTGGGTGTTTTATTTGCTTGTATGTCTGCACACCAGAGGAGGGCATCAGATCCCATAGGATTACAGTTATAGACTGACATGAGCTGTTAAGTTTGTGCTGGGAATTGAACTCAATTGGACCCCTGGAACCACAGTCAGTGTTCTTAACAGCTGAGCCGTCTCTCCAGCCTTTGGGCTATTCTTTAATCACAGACTATGCCTATTTGGGTCCTTACTCACAGCGAAAACTTGAACTTTATTTTATAATTATAATTATTATTATCTTGCCAATTATATATGTCCTCTGTAGAAACTAGCTACCAAGATAAAGTTTTAAACTTATACTTCAAACTTCCAATATACCTTTCCATCATCCAGTCTCTCCACTGCAGATCCGTTGGGTAAATGGGGTGGCTCTGTTCTGTTCACCATGGCTACCATTGTGAGGTTCAGGCATACTCTCTGAGCCATGATGACAATGTTACAGAAGTGCAAAACGATAGCCAATCCATAGCGAAAGGAGCAGAAACCTGGAACTGGGAAGTGGAAAAGACCATCTCAATTTGTAACACAGTTCAAGAAAAAAAAAATGCAGGCATTTGGAACTTTGATATCCTAGACAGTAAGTTAAAATTTTACTGTAAAATCATCCTTCTAGAAATTGCCATATAAAAGGAAGATGTGGGACTTATATAATAATCCCTATTACCTTAAAACATCATCCCAGTTAGAATGTCCCGGAATGTTAATCCAGTTTGCAAATGCTTTGGTGAGTGTCTATTTTAAAGAAACCATGGACAAATACCTTGGATTTTCTTTGGAAGTAAGACCCCTTAATGTTATCAGTCATATTTTATCTCAAAGAAACTGCTTTGATCTTCAAACTGATATGACTACTCTGGGCTGAGAAAGTCATATTTTTACATTGAGAAATTTTTTTCTGAAGAGAATAAATTTACTGAGAAAGTATCAAGCTATAGTAAAGAATGTAGTATTGGTATAAAACCAAGCACACTCATCAGTGGAGGAAATCAGGAATTACAGAAATACATGCGCATCTAGGACTAAATGGTGTGTGTGTGTGTGTGTGTGTGTGTGTGTGTATGTGCGCGCACACACACGTGCTGCATGTTGGTATACATGCTTATATATATTGGGGAAAGTGGTTGCACATTTATGGAGTCCAGAGGCCAATGCTGAGTGTCTTCCTCTGTTGTTCTTCACCTTATCTACCTTAGTCTTTGAGGAAGCATTTCTCGTGAAACTCTGGATCACTCTGGTTAAGCCAGACTGTCTGGCTACCAGACTACAGGAATCCTCCTGTATCTGTTTCCCCGCTACCAGGATGACAGACACATTATCACCATACCTAGCTTTTTATATGGGTGCTGGGGATCTGAAGTCAGACCACTGTACTAGTGTTGCAAATGCTTTCTTGACTGATCCATCGCCCCAGGCTAAATAACTAGTCACCAAAGCTGTCTACCATAGGAATCTATTGTTATAGAGTTCCCTAACAGTCAAAAATAATCGGCATGGCCTCTCCTATATCCAAAACCAGCAGTGAGAAGCCCCACCATGCTGAATCCATCTTGCATCTGTCTGACTACTCCATCTGTGTCCTCTAAACATAGATTTAAAGCATTGTGTGATTCAATCAGTTTCCCTTGATGATTTTCCTGTTTAACTGGGAAATAGTTTGCATGTACCAGGGTTAGGATGTCTTAGGGGTGATCTTAGAATTCTGCCTACTGTGGTCCACCATCTGACTTCTAAACATTTATGTTCATCACACAAGCAAAACATAGCCAACCCATCTTAAGCATCCCTAACCCCCATTTTATTGTCATGTTACCTTGAACCTCATCAAAAGGTCATGACTTCAAATTGCCAAATCTCACCATCTAAATCAGTCCCTGATGACCCTTACAGAAGCAATTCACCTAGGGTATAATATTTATCTGTGGACTTGCTGAGGAGGCAAATGTAAGTTCTACTACTGCCAACATACAATAATGGGACGGGCATGTGCAAAACTGCAAACATTAAATTCTAAAAGAGAAAAAAGTCATGAATCCACAATGGGTTTGAAATCCATCCGAACAAATACTGTGCTTTAAAAGATGAATTTTTATCCTAGTTATAAAATAAAATGGTATAGAGTATGATAATCCAATATATGTATTGTGATTGTCAATTTCACCATATCGAGAAACTACTAGAAAAGTGGTAACTTATACTTCTGGGTTTGTTGTGAGAATGTATCCAGAAAGAGTTGGGATCTGGGTGTCTATTCCGATGAATATTTTTTCCAGTAAGTCCATAGTGAATGCTACTCTCATGCAGGCCAATCAACATAATGCCATCAGTTTAATCGACCCCTGCGATACCTTGTAAAAGAGGAAAATAACCAAGATCCCTGTGAACTAACTTATAACACCGGGTTAGAAGATTGACAGTTATGCATGGGCACAGCATTCACCAAACCCCACATATCTATGGATGTTGCTCAAAGCTCAATCTGCCAGCAACAGAGACCAACATTGAGCCCACCATAAGGCAGTTCCTGTGGATGACCAGATAGCAAGCTGATAACAGATAGATTATATCAGATACTTTCCTGCATGGATAGGTCAGTGTTTTATATTTACTAGGTAGACAGTTATTCTGGATATGAATGTATCCTTCCTCTATGCAATGTTTTTCTAGAAATAACTTTATCTGAATTCGAAAAATGCCTTATTCCCCATCATGGTGTTCTATACAACAGGAGCTCACTTCACATCCCGAGATGTGCAGCAGAGGGCCTGTGTTTATAGACTTCATAGGTCTTACCTTACTTGTGGTTGAATGGCCTTTATGAGGACACAGTTACAGCATTAACTTGGTGGCAGTACTCTGCCGGACTGGAACAGTATTCTGCTAGAGGCTATGTATGCCTGAACCAGCATCCAACATATGGTGCTGTTTTCCCATAGTTATAATTCATGAATCCAGGAACCACGAGGGAGAGATAGAAGCCATCACCCCTAGGGATTTGGCAGCAAACGTTTCACTTCCTATTTTTGGGAGTTACTGCTCTGCTGGCCTCTACCTATTGCTTCCAGGGGGAGAAATTCAGACACTGGTGGCTTAGCAAGGACTCCATTGGGCTAGAAGACAAGGCTTCTTCCCTGGGAGACTTTGGGGTCCTCAGCCTCTGAGGTGATGAGCTATGAAAAAAGCATTCATGGGTGATAAATCTGATCTTCCAATAGATCAGTAGAATTTTGGTTTTTATTCTGTAACTTGACAAGGAATGGCAAACAGGCACTGTCTTTTAGAGTCTCTTCTAGTGTTTCCCAGACTAGTGTTTAAGGTCAATGAGACTCATTCACAACCCTATTCAAGCAGAGCTACAAATGACCCAGGCCTTCAGAAATCAAGCTATATATGCCACACCAGGTAAAGAACCACAGTCCTTTGAGGTGCTTTATGAAGGCAAAGGCTGTAGAGAATGGTAGTTATGAACATCAGCCATGACATCTGACATATATGTAAATACTAACCATGGCATGTGATGAGTCCCAGGAAAACCAATGGTGATTATCATGATATTATTATTCCCTATTTTGTTAAGTATACATTTGTGTCTAGACATGCATGTATCAAGCAAATTTATTTTCTTTCTCCTATTTTGTTTTTATCCTTTAATATGGGACTTGTTGATGATATACAAATATTTAAGCACTGTTAGTTGCATCATAGTTAGGGGATGTCAGAAGAGCATTAAGAATCATATGAAAACTTTATTGCCTTTTCGGAATATTTCCGAATTAATATTTCCATAGACCAGTTCTCTCACACGCTGTCAGTGATGTTGTGTTTAAGAAGGTGGACCGTGTTCAACAGGACAACACTACCTTTCTTGGCAAGACACTGGTTCTCCATTTGATGCTTATCTTCTTGTTCGTGGGTTTGGTCTCCATGCACTGTGGATTCAAAGCACACTGGTCAGCATATGAAAGGAAGCAACTGACCAAGCCCTCAGGAGTCCTGTCTGACTGAAAGCCAGGGTCAAAGGATGACTAACTCCATCACACCGGTGCCCTTTCACCCCCACCGAGGAGCTTAGTTAATATTCCACTTTCATAGTTTTTTTTTTTTTGATTCTCTTAAAATTTATCGAAAATCTGTTAACTAGCAACCCTGTCAATCCAGTTTTTTTTAATTCAATGAAAAATAGAAAACTTTATTATAGAAACAAAAACTGAGGACATTTGCTGCCAGTAGGCTTGCCCTGCAAGGCAGACTGTCAGAAGGTCAGCAGGCAGGAAGAGAGCACAGTGCACATTAAAGCTGAATGTTGGAGAAGGAGTAAATGCAAGCAAAACTCATTTTCTGTGCTTTTTTTGTTGTTGTTGTTTTGTTTTGCTTTGTTTTTTGGAAACAGGGTTTCTCTGTGTAACAGCCCTGACCGTCCTGGAACTTGCTTTGTAAACTAGGCTAGTCTCAAATGCACAGAGATCCACCCACGGCTGCTTCCCAAGTGGTGGAATTAAAGATGTGCCAGCTTATTTTCTGTATGCTAAGAGAGGTGAAGCAAGACTGTCTTCTTGCTAATGCTACACTCTCTGGAGATAGAGCGCTTTCCATAGCCCCAAGTAAACCTATCTGTAGCCTCAGTTTCTCTGGAAACAGAGTTACCGCAGCCAAGCTTCTGTCTGCCCGGGAGAAGCGGGTGGGAGGGTAATGAGTTAGGATTCAATTCTCACAAATGCTGTGAGCTTAGACTTTGAGATCTGACTTCATCAGTTCACATGACTCCCACATGTCCCCAGGACACCTAGGATTTGCATATTTGAAGCATTCTAGAATGTGTAGAACGTCAACCACAAGAATCACACGTTGGATCCTCTTTAGAACTGCTCTTTATGCAACTAATGCACACCACAGTACAGAGATACTACACATACTCACACACACGTAAACATTACATGCTTACTATTCATTGAATACAGTACACAGATGCAACACACATGCCACACAAACCTAAACAGAAAGAAACACTGTACACATACTATACATATGACCCAGTGCACAAATACCTTATACACACATATTACACACAGAGAAAAACACTACATACACATAAACAATGCACATATGCCACACATTTATGCGAACTCTATACAATACTATATATACAACATAGTATGCAAATATTAAACACAGAAACACTATGCAAACATAAATAATACACACATACTACACATAGAAAGAAATACTACACAAACACTACACACATAGAAATGTGTCACACATAAGATACATACAGCACAATACATAGATGCTACTATGTACACAGAAGCACTAAATATATACCACACACAGACAGAAAAGCACACATATATTGAACATGCAATACAATACACAGATATAATAGACAATTTTACTACATATAACACATATAACCGCACTGTATATGCGGTTATATATATATATAACACTGTATATATAACACTGTATATATAACACAAAGTATATGCACGTGGATATGTTACATACATATCACATAAACACTATACACAAACCCAGTACGCACATACTGTACACGCAAAAACATTACACACATACTACATACACAAACCACAAGTAAATGCACACCTCACACACATATACATACAACACACACGAATAGTACAAACCCTCCTCACACATAGTACAAACACCTCCACCCACAAACCAAACCTACATCTCTCTGGCCTGTAATGATAAGTGTGGACAAATTGCACACACCACCGACCGGACGCACTTGCAGTCCAACATACCACACGGGCCACAAGCACCCACCCTTCCCTCCACCACTGCCATGCTACAACAGTCACGGACAGCTCGCCCCACAGTCCGTACCTTCTCTTTCCCCGTGTCCCCGTGAGTAATGCCCACTTCACACTCTTTCCTAAAAATATGGTCTTTTTCCCCCTTGTAAAAAGCCTCTAAAGATCAGCAAATTCTTCTAACAAATTTCCTCACATTGGGAAATCCTATGCCAAGGAAGGACTGCTAAAGCCTTCTGGAGAATTAAAAGTTCATTTCACTTGGCACATAATGAAAATCCACTGACCTGATTAAGACAGAACAGCCCTTACTCCTCCCTGGAAGACTTTTCACTCAACTTTAGAGGTGAATTTTTCTCCCTGCTGGTAAATCCTATATCGAATTCTTGACCTCATCATGTCAAGGGTGATGTTTAATTTTTAACTTTTCTTTTACTCTAACCTTGCATCTTTTAAGGAGAAACATGAGTCTTGAGCTCATCTCCTGGACTAGAACTTTCTGGGAACTAATCAGCAATTTCAGGATTTAATAAACAAATCTCATAGTCTCCAATCTACCCAGGAGGGAGCATGCCTTCCAAAAGTGTTCACAAGATGTCTCAATCGAGGAGGACTTTGGAATTCCATGGACTGTCCCAGGAGAGCTGTGGCTTCACGGATGGCCTATTAACTTTATTATCTCCCCCCCCCCCCCGCCCCCAACTTCTTACTTCCCTCCTTTTCCTGCTCTTTCCTTCTTTTCCCCTTCTACCTCTACTCATAATCTTCCCCCTTCCCTCCCTTCCTCTCACTCTCCTTCTCTCTTTTTCTCCCTTCTCAGCACCTTCTCTCTTTTCCCTCCTGTCCCCCTTCTTCCTTCTTCCCCGCTCCTCAGAGGTCACACCTGTTTGACATTTGACATGCCCAGAAAGCTGTACGTTTTCTTATGTCCTGCCTGTCAAAGCTGTGCCTTGTTCTGTGGCTTCTCCGGGTTCAGCTCCTGGCTCTTCTGGAACATTTGGGCTGAAACTCTTTGGGCATAATATGCTGATCAGTTAGGGACATCTAAGCCCTGATTCAGAAATTTTTCACTGTTGATAACAGCTAACATACTTAAACATTTTAATTTTTATTATGCTCTTTTCAATGTCTATCAATATTTTACATGTAACAGCTGCTCCATGACTGGAACCCAACTTTCCCCCCTAAACAACTATGTGGCCAAATGTGGTGCAAGCCTGTGAACTCTGTACCTGAGGCAGAGGCAAGAGGATCATGAGTTCGAAGCCAGTCTGGGCTACCTAACAAGTGACAGACAAGCCCTACATGCAGAATGAGACCCTGTATATTAGAAAGGGGAAGAGAAGGGAGAGAGGGAAGGGAAGGGAAGGGAGGGGAGAGTCAAATATTGAAAATGCTTTGCCCTGGAGCCTTGTCTTGTCACTCAGTTGGGGTTGTGATTCTAGGAGGTATTGATGCTCCATGTGCCGCAGCAAATCTGTCCTCTCTGCTTGATTATACATCTTGCAATTTCTGGTACCTTCCAGAAAAAGGGACTTTTTAATGATTGAAAGCTCCAAGTTAGCAGTTGTTCAATGTCCACATTTTGAATAAACAGCACTCCCACATGGCGTCAATACCCACGGTTTCGGTACAGATTACATAAGAAGGAGCTGGCTTTCCGTTTGCTGCTTCCACTTTCCACTGCATTGCGAGGCTCTGACGCCGCCGAGTTTCATGTTTAGCTTATTAATTTTTTACTTTCCCCGTTTATCATGGAACATTTCAAACCCAGAAAAGAAATAGAACAGTCCGATATAACCATGGTCATATTAACTAGCTTCCACTATTATTAACATTTGAATTTCTCTGTCTAATTGTTGTTTCTGTAATATTCTAAAGCAATTATCAGACACCATGTAATTTCTTCTCCAAAAACAAAATAAAACAAAAAACAAACAAAAAGAAAGTGCAGCAAAGAAACTTAATTCATCAGAAAAATCTCCAACATGGTTAACAAGCTACCAGCACTAGTAAATAAATAAAATACTTTAAATTTCCTCAGTTACTTCAGAACTATCCTCTTTATATTTGATTGATTTTTGTTTGTTTTGGGAATGGGTTCTCATGCAGTCCAGATTGGCTTAGAAGTCATGCTGTAATCAAAGATGAACTGGATTTCCCGATTCTCCTGCCTCTATTTACTGAGTGCGGGGATTTCAGACATACGCCACTGTCAGCTTAGCTGGGCTCTGTGAACGATGGCCAAGCACTCTACAGCCCCAGTCAGCAGGTCCTTGTTTTGTTTTGTTTCTTTAAAAAATTAAATTATATGTGTGCGTGCCCATCAGTGTATATGAGTGTGGGTATTCTCAGAGAAGGTATTAAATCCCCTGGAGCTAGAGTTACTGGTGATTGTGAGCTTCTTGACATTGGTGCTGGAAACTGAACTAGGGAAGAGGAGAAAGCATTCTTGATCCCCAAACCATCTTTCCAGGTCCAGGGTGTCGTTATTTCTTGACCGTCCCTTGAGAACTTGCTACCTTAATGAGATAGTTCATTAGTTTTACCCTTAAAGAATTCCCTCCCAGTACCACATGCATTCCAACGGTGAGAAGTTCATGTTAAATCCGGAAATGTTGGCACCTGCTTATAAATCCTAGCACTTGAGAGGTTGGGGCCGGGGAATCATGAATTTGAGGCCAACTTGGGCTACATGTGGCGTTCCCGGCTAACTTGTTTTGCATATTGAGATCTTATCTAAAAATAAATAAAAGAATCATGTAAAGATTAGCGATATATATGAAACCAGGAGTGGAGTAACACGTTTATATCCATCCTGACACTCGGGAGACTGAGGCAGGAAAGACCATGAGCTCGAGTGAGCTCGGACGACATAGAAAGTTCAACGGTCCAGAGGTCAGTCTGTGATACACATCAAGATCCAGTATTTCAAAAAGTCACTCTGTAAAAGCCGATGACATACCTGGTAATGAAACCATTATTGGCATACCTAGTCAACGGAAGAATTCCCAGTCTTTACCGACCAGGGGTATCCCACTCTTTGACTTTCCTAGGCTATATAGGATGAACAATTTCCTTGTGCCAACATTAATTGCAAGATCATTCACAAAAAGTCATAAACAATAAAAATGTCCGTGTATATCTGCCACTATAAAAAGGCAAAATCCTTACACAATAGCCTCAATAACATAGTGCCCCATTAGGATAGTCTTTCAGGATTGATGAGAAGGCTCCCTCTTTGTAATCAATAATAAAGTGAGCCCTTCTAAGTAATAAAACTTCATTGATTCGAATAGTCATTATAAAAGTAAAAGAAAAAGCCATGTGGTGGTGGTGTGAACCTTTGATCCTAGCACTTGGGAGGCAGAGTTAGGCGGATCTCTGAGGTCAGCCTGGTCTACAGAGACAAGGTCCAAGGACAGTCAAAGCTACACAGGGAGACCCTGTCTCTAACCCCAGCCACCACCACCACCCCCAATAAAAAGTAAAGAGAAGAAGGCAACATGAAACAACTGTGCGATTTGATGTTGTATTTAAGATACTCCTGCCTCAGTATCTGATTTCATGGAAATACCCGCTGTTTCACTGAGTTCTTCCAGTGTTCAGATATTTTCCTTCTTATTCTACCAGGACGGTGCTTCATTCTTGAAAACAGTTTCTCACCAATGTAAGCATGGGCAGGAAGTTATGACACAATAAAAGCTGTGACTGTGAAGAGAAGAGCATTCATCTCTGGGAAGAAGGGAACTATATGAGTCTAATAAAAGAGGCATGTGGTGATTTGAATGAGAAGAGCCTCCATAGGCTCCTATATTTGAATGCTTAGTCACCAGGGAGTGGAACCAATTAAGGATTAGAAGGATTAGGAGATGTGGCCTTTTTCGAAGAATTATGGTCTTGTTGAGGACATATGTCATTGCGGGTAGGCGTTGAAGATTCAAAAGCCCCCACCAGGCCCAGTCTCTCTGAATGTAAGGTATCAGAAGCTGCTCCAGCACTAAGCCTGCCCGCTCGCTGCCACACTTCCTGCTATTATGATGGCCTAACCCTCTGAACCTGCCCCAGTTAATGCTTTCTTTTACAAGAGTCATCTTGGCCATGGTGTCTCCTCATAGCAATAGAATGGTGACTAAGACAAGACACAAGCGAGGATTTCTTTAGGTGGAATGTCAGACCGCAGCTCAGATTGGGACAGACGGTGTTTCATTTAGAAGCTGCCAGGCAATGTTTTTCTGTAGACTGAAAATGGAGTTGCAAGTATACCAAAATATTGATTATTTCCCCAATAATTATGAAATCTGCTTTAATTTAAGTGAAATAATAAGGCTTCAAAAATTACTAAATATGTAATACTGTTTTCATCAACAAATTTTGGTACAAAATTCTGCTATACTATCATAAATCCAAATCATAATCTCTCAACATTTATCCTTGATTTATCCTTTTGTTTTGTTTGTTTGTTTGTTTTTCGAGACAAGGTTTCTCTGTAGCTTTGGAGCCTGTCTTAGAACTAGCTCTTGTAGACCAGGCTGGCCAGGAACTCACAGAGATCTGCCTGCCTCTGCCTCCCGAGTGCTGAGATTAAAGACATACACCATCACCACCTGTCTTGACTTGTCCATCTTACATCCAAGTGCAAAGAATGCATTGCTATACTCAGCTCACCAACAGTTTTAAGGAATTCTTGGATTTGATGCTGATGCAGCCCTTAGGAAAGTCACTTTTGATGATAATTTGCCCGATGGCATCCATTTTTATGCCTTTGTGCATACATTATCTTGATAATACTTCATTAAGCATGGGCTTTGGGCATCAATTTCTTTATCTTCTATTAATTTGAAAAGCCCCCTTCTTTTACCTATCATTGCTAAAGTCTGGTATGTACCTTTAATCTCACACTCAGTATACACAGATAAACGGATCTCTGTGAGTTCGTGTCAGCGTAGTCTACAAAGTGACTTCTAGGCCAGCCAGGGTTATACAGTGAGTGTCTCAAAGAAACAAACAATAACAAAAACTGTACCAGATATATTGACAGCGACAAAAGAAAATCAATTTTAACATATCCTCTTATCGCTTCATATAAATCCCTTGATTTATATGTGGATTTCCTTAGTGACACTGTATTTCTCATTGATACCTTTAATGAAGATTACTAGTTGAGTTGTTTTGTGTCATTAGCACTGCCATCTATGGTCACAGCAAAAGATTTAAAATAAGAAACTAAACTTCCAGTGTCTTTAATCCACCAGATGAGACAACTAATCTAAAAAGTCCTTCCTCCTTCTCAGTGTGGGTTATGTCTGCCACACTGCCCCCTGCATTGTTTCAGAACTTCGTAACTTTCAGAACTTACCATCAGTAACTTGTTTTGGAATTTTTGCTTTTAAATATCTACCACATAAT